GAGCACCCAAAGGTTGCTGGTTCCATTCCTGGTCAGGGCACATGCCTGGGTTGTGGACTGATGACTTGATCAGTAAGGGGCGTGCAGAAGATAGCCAATGGATGTTCCCCTCTCACATCGATGTTTGTCTCTCTCCCTTTCCCTTCCTCTCCTCTAAAATCAATTCTTAAGATACATATTTTTTTAATAAAAAGAGGAATGAAAGAATCTCAAGGTCCTGGCCAAAGCAGGTTACTTCACACTCCAGGCTATGGCCTTCAGGGAGCACGTGTTGTAATAATGCCGAAGCGGGTCCATCCTTGCTGCTTGACACAGTCACTGCAGGGAAGAAACATCTGCACAGCATATGTTTCAAGGGACCTGAGGTATATGGCATACTGTTCTTAATATGTTTGCTCCCCTAATTAGCACTATGTGTGTTAACCAAGGTCACCTCTCCAAGAAAGATTGTTTCCCCAGGTGGGGATTTTTCCCTGGAGTTAGGGACTAACAGGACTAAGGAAGAGAATAAATCAGTAAAACCCCTTACTAAGTGCCAGGCGGGTAGTTGATCACTTTAACTACGAACAATCATGATTAAGCTACATAATCTTTACTTAGGATAATCTCCTTCAGTTACTTCCTTGTAGTTTAACAGAACAATAGAGTAGTGATCTTGGAATGGAGATAACAAACGCCCTAACCTTTGGAATAGAATGGATAGGATTAAAATCAACTGGTATAAATACAGATGTAACAGGAGAATAAAAACAGAACCTGGCTAGAGAACCTGGCTAGGGTGCTGATCACCTGAACGCTGTCTCTGTCCACACCTTTGGGAACCCCTGGACCTGTTGGGGCTGGACAAGGTATCACTGGGAGGATTTGACCTCCAGGCCAATTGGCTGTGAGAATCATCTGTGTCTGCAGTGGGAGAACTTTTGTGCTGGAGACACCCTTATGGGGCAAGACTTGCTTCAGTGGGGCTTTGGTGCTCACTGAGTCTGCCCCCTGAGTGTCCCTTATGGATCTGAGCAGCTATAATCTGGATGGTCCCACTCTGACCCTGGGTACACTGGCTCTTGGATCTCTAAGGAGGTGCTAATTTAGCCTCTGCCTGAGACTACCCAGCAGGAGCTATGGAGAGATCTGCAGATTCCTCTTCTTTGTTTGGAGTTTGGAGATGTCCAGATGAGGCCCAGCTGTGAAGCAATGCAAGCTGCTGTGAGGCCTTGGGCCTTCTTTTGGATGTTCTGGGTCTCTCTGACTCAGCTACAGTTTGTTAGGTAATTTTAGATTGCAAAGGGCCAGGCCCTTTCATATGAAAAAGCCTCTGTGCACAGCTTGGGTGGGGCGGGGTCTCAGGGAATCAACAGGGTGGAGCAAACAGCTATGGCTGATCCTCAGCCCTGCCGGGAATAGCCCGGGGTCTCAGTGCCTGGCGGTAATCACTGCAAGCACCTCTGAGAGAAAGCCTCCCTCGAGTTCTGCTGGATGCCAGACAGTCCAGTTTCTCCCCATATGAGTCTGGGTCCCCAGAGACTCGCCCAGAACTGGAGTTCAGAGCAGT